TTTGACATAGTTTTTCAATACACAAAAGTGACTTATCTTAAGAAGAAAAAAAAATAAGGGTATCCTCGACGCATTCTGACTTTGGGATTCGCAAAGTTCTGCGTGCACGTGTTTTCTCGAGCGAACATCTCGGTTAAATAAATTTAAGGAGTATATCTTATACGGATCCAGTGCATTTCTTTATAGGGCATTCCGAATCTCTTCTACTTCCAAACGAAAAAGAAACGAGAAAAAAAAAGAAACAAATCAGGATCGTCGTAGTCGGAAGAGTTTTATTTTTCTTTCTTAAATTTTGCCTTTCGATTCGAAGGAAAAAAAAGATATACAACGGTCGCGAAAATGTGTTACCGCGCTTCGATTAAAAATAGAGAAAAAAAAATAAGAAAAATAAAATTGAGCGTTTTACCGGCTAATAAAGTGCGGTAACATTTTCTTGCGACGTTGTATATGTATATATATACATTACACGGTTAACTTTATCATGGGGCGAGAACACTTGGACTGCGGATGTTTATGCAAATTTCCATTTTTATAAATACATTTAGAGAGAGGGGTGGATTCGAATAAAATTTCATTTTCCATAGCGATAGTTATACCGGGTGAAAGATAAAAACCGTATTGAATTTTATTGAAGTTTGTACCCAATTGTTTTCTAAGGAATTTTTATATGCTGATCGACGCAGAAAAATCTGCAGTCTACCGATAAAATAGACAGAACGTAGGGGGGAAAGAGAGAGATTAGTTCTTGAAATGTTTTATAAAGGTGTTTTTTACACGGCGGTCTTGATCCTGTACGTCGATGCAAGAATGCAACTAAATACGAATGCTGTACAACAATTTGAACACTAAATCTTGAATTGTACGAATCAGCACTGTTTCTATTTATCTTACAGATCTCAGATATATATTTAAAATTATTTTTGTAAAAAAGAAGAAGCTAATCGCATTCACATTCCCACAATGAGCCACATTGACCTGATACACTTGTAATAACTATCTTTCATGTATTGTATGTATTGTTCATTGAGAATAATTGAAAAGTTAATATGAGTGTACACACACATACCTACACGCACACATCCCAATTACACGCATGGGGACACACACACCATACATAACGTACACCGTACATACACGCACACATACATACACAGTGAATGTTATTTTTCATGTAATTAACTACAAAGTTACGGTAACGAACTCTTGACTATTTGCGAGGGCGAAATTGATATACAACTAAGGAAATATATATTTGACGTTAATGTAATAACAATATTCTACTATTACACTGTTGTCTGTTGTATGTTTATCGAGCGTGATGCTCGAAAGATTTAATCAAATATTATGTATATTACATAAATTATTATTTTATATTCATCGTTGTACATATATTTTAATTAATTTTCATTAGAAATACAACTTATCTTACCTGAACCGAGTATAAGTGACTATTCTTTATATATATATGTATATGTATATGTATATATATACATATATGTATATATATATGTGTATGTATGTAAGTATATATGAAAAAAGGGAACTTACTTTTAGGCGCGTTCAACGTTGCGTGTGTTTTTTTTCGTACGAATGAAAAACGCATTCTCGATTATGGCAAAATGTACTTTTTATTAGCAATGACAAATTATAAGGATTCAACTGTCGAATTGAGAGAAAAGAAAAGAAAAATGTAAGAAACCTATTCAACGCGATAAGTCGACAAATATATTTGTTAATTTATAACATTAATTACTCGAGTCTTGTGTTTGTAGTTAATTCTCTATAATAATTTATACTTTAAACAATTAAATCAATAATCTGTTTCGAACAACTGGCCAACTTATTCGCGGGCACGTCTGTCTCGGACATTGTTTTCAATATGTTCAACGTAACTTCGGATTGTCTTACTGCTTTGATTAAATCGTTACGGTCGGTTGTGTCTGTTGTCGTGCATAAAAGTGTTCCTAGCCCCACGAGAGTTCTAAATACTGCTTCGGGTTCGTTCAACCGGGATAAAATATTGAACATAGCGTGCAAACATTGCGCCTTACCGAATACATCATTGTGCTTATTTAAGGCCACGGTTAAATTCAGTATATAAGTTGACACAGCGACCTAAACATGTGCAATGAAATTAATTTCACTTTGTTCGTCGTTCATGAATATTTTTTTTTCTTTTAATACTTCCATGTTATACACATACCTGATTGTTTTTACTTCCAAGAGATCTGAAGTCTGATAAAAGTTCCAATATCTCGTCCTTACAATGAAGACCAAGCTCTTCTCCCTTTTCATGGGAAAACATGTTCGCTAACAAACGAAACGTGAGCATTTGATTGGAAGCGGACGCGTCAGGTTTGACGTGTTTTTTCGTAAGCTGCAGAAGCTCGTCCGTGCATAGAATGTCATTGATCTCTTTGGAGAGCACGGCAAGTCTTGTTATATCGAGTACAGGGAACAGCACGTCATCTGGCCAATTCAACAACGTTTTCAAAGTGTCTAAAGCATCGGTTTTTAATTGTTCGGAAGTTTGGTCTTTAGCAAGTTTTATCAAGTTATCCAATTTATCCTCCGGGACTCTGAAGGCTTCGGTTTGCTTAGAATTTAATTCACGTAGTTTGTCTGTAAATAATTTGAAAATATGATGTTCAGTGAATTTTACGTGAATGGAAAGAAGAGAAGATTATAGATACCTAAAATAGTAGGCAAATTAGCCTGTTCTATTTTCAAATATTTTGTATGAGGAATATAAGACGAAGATAAAGAAGTGTTGGAAGAATTAAGTGTTCCTGTTCTTGCAGGTTCAGTTGTACTCGTCGCTGAACTAGGAATATATCTATTGCCTCCTGTGAAAGGATCAGCGTACTGAGTATTCGTATTCAAACTTGGTGTAGAATTTTTCATTATAAAATTGGCAACCTGAAAATAAAGATTAGTTATCATAGAAAGGTAAAAATAAAGATAATATGAATGATCTTAACCGCTTACCTGATCTAAAAATAATTGACTGAGATCATTATCATGAAGGAATTTCTGTGCAACATGCCATGGATCTTGACCATTGTTGTAAGGTAATTTTAATGGAGGTAAACCATCCTGTATGTCAACTGAAAATACGTAATCATATTCTACTCCATTATGTAGTTGTTTTCCCGATGTAGCAGTGCTACCACCAGTTGCACCCATAACATCTCCGATTCTTATCCATCTCTGTTCGCTCTGAGACCAACTGTATGCTCTTACTGCATCTCCATCATTCACAATTTTGGTTTGACCATCTCTTTGACCAGGTTGCTGCAATGCTTTTGCATCTGGTAAACTAGTAATGTATAAATTAAAATGTTTTATTTATCGGTATAAGCAAATTACTTTCTCTGCAATTATTTACTTACTCTTTAATTTTGATTCCTCCTAATTCTAGCTGTGCATTCAATTTTGTATTTGCTACCTCCTTCTCAAATTCCTGTAATGTTTCTGGTTCCGCGTATCGTTCTGGGTCACATGAAAATATCCTAACAACACCATCAGAACTCCCAGCAACTATGTCACCATTGGGCAATAAATCAATACACCATATCGACTGAGACGGTAAGGTAATAGTTTGACTTATTTGACTATCCTGCCATACCCTGATAGTTCTATCTTCGCCACAGGTAAATAGTCTTACACCTTTCTCCTTACATATAATACCATATATATAATTGTTATGCGCGTCATATGTCCCTAAACAAATTCCAACAGATGCATTCCAATGACGCACAGTAGCATCATTGCCACAAGTCAAAAATTCATTGTCATTTATCGAAGCAATATCACGAACACAATCTGTATGCCCAGTTAATTTGTGTTGTACAGAACCATCACTTGTCCATATTATAACTAACTTATCCGCAGATCCACTTATAATATATCCGCTCGACAAGTCTGCTACACACCATACGGCTGCTGTGTGACCTACCAGGTTTAACTGGGGCTTACTTAAATCATTGATGTCCCATAGTTTGGCACTCAAGTCCCAGGAACTCGAGAGAAATGTCCCTTCTCGCTTTCCAGCTCTCAATTTGCATACTGTGTCTTGGTGAGCTGTCAATGTCTTTACAGGCTCTGCTTGGTCTGGCACATAAACACATATAGTTTTGTCGTTGCTGCCAGTTATAATAAATCCCGTGGGATTTTTTTCCGATGGGTTTAGAACGCATACCGAGCTCACGAAATTAGTGTGACCCTTCAGCGTTAACGCGTACACGTAATCTCTACCGTTTCTGCAAAAACATTTATACAATCTTTAAATTCCTCTTCGCATTTGTAATCATGGGAAAGAAGTGTATTGACAGGCTAAATACCCAGACGGTTTCCATACACGGGCTGTTTTGTCCCGGGACGTGGAAACAATGGTTCCATCCGTGAACGTCGCTACGGCCCTCACGTCAGACGTGTGCCCGAAAAGCGAGCTCCTTAATTTATAAGACGGCTGGGCCATTGGTACTCTGATATCCTAACAAATCACGTACAATTCTTATGAATCATGCACCGTGCCAATCTTTCCAACCAGAATGCGGAAACGCAGAGAGACAAATGGCAATTGGTTTTAACATTTAAAACACGTTCGAGCATGCGTGACACTTGTTACCCACGTTCATTAAATTTCACGAGAATATTCTACTGTGTGCCGGAGGAATTTTCACGAGAACGTTCAGCGATCAAACGTTAAAATCGTCGGCCATTGACGCCCTAATAAGCAAAAGTACTATCGAATTTTCTATGAAAAATAGGGTGCAAAAAATTGTTCGTGTTTTCTCTAGATAAGCGACTCCATCTTCCTAGTGAGTTTCGTTTGCGCGGTTTTACCAGGGGGCGTATGTCACTTCCGGTACAGATGAGACTGCTCTTCCGTTTGGTTACGTGTGTAACATGAAGCCGCAACTCTAAAACGACGGAACCGGTGTGTCTCGTGGCAAGAGGCTGTTACGTACGGTACACAATGAGATTTCTAGATCAATTCATTTATTTCCTCGCAATAGCCGGTCTGGCGAACGCTGGCGGACCTACGCTCGTTTTACTCGATAATTTAGCTATTAAGGAAACGCATTCCATATTTTTCAAGACATTACAAGGTATGTAAACATCCCGGTACCTGCTACTGAATGTCTATTTATTGATGTTCCATGCCAGTTTCTGTTTTTTTTTTAAATAACTGCGAACAATCTTGTAGCGGGTTGCAACATAAATCTGTTTCATCTGTTCCATTGTTACATTTATGTTGCACTGTAAATAATTTTTTCTTGTATTTAACCTCATGTCAGGCACAAATGGTAACATGAAATTCTGTTTCAGATAGTGGATATACGTTAACATTTAAATTAGCAGATGACGCTAATTTACAACTTTCCAAGTATAGAGAATATTTGTATGAACATTTAATTATATTTGCTCCATCCGTGGAGGAATTCGGTGGTGCTTTAAGTGTTGATACTATCACCGATTTCATTGATGGAGGTGGAAATGTTTTGGTCGCTGGTTCCTCTCAGTCTGGAGATGCTTTGCGTGAACTAGCATCCGAATGTGGTTTTGAAATAGATGAAGAGGGTTCTGCAGTCATAGACCACTTGAATTATGATGTTTCTGATAATGGATATCACACCAAGATAATTGCTGATCCATCTACTTTGATAGATGCTCCTGTGATTGTTGGAAACAAGAATATACAACCTTTGTTATACCAGGGAACAGGTTTAATTGCTGACACAGACAATCCATTGATCTTGCGTTTGTTAACAGCATCTAGTTCTGCATATTCCTACAATCCACAGAATCCCATTAAGGATTATCCTCATGCAGTCGGCAAAAACACATTGCTGATAGCAGGTTTACAAGCCAGAAACAATGCAAGAGTTGTGTTCTCTGGCTCACTGTACTTCTTCAGTGATGAAGCTTTCACTAGTTCTATTCAGAAAGCTCAAGGTAATAATGTTTTCAAAACTATCAAATATATCAGTTATATCAAATGTATCAAATATACAAGTTACATATTCATTAATTGTACAGGTGGACAGAAGTACGAGAAATCTGGTAATGAAGCTGTAGCTACAGCAATTGCAAAGTGGGTCTTTAAAGAGAATGGTGTAATACGTGTTTCTTTGGTGCATCATCATAGAGCTGGAGAAACTGATCCACCAGCAGCTTACACCATTATGGATGATGTTGTTTATTCTATAGATGTCCAGAAACTTTCAGGAGATAAATGGGTTCCTTATGAAGCAGATGATTTACAGTTAGAGTTTGTTCGAATTGATCCCTTTATCCGCATGACAATGAAGCCAGTTGGAAGTGGTCGCTATGAGGCGAGATTCAAGATCCCTGATGTATATGGAGTGTATCAATTTAAAGTAGACTACACTCGTATTGGTTTGACTCACTTGTACAGTACAACACAAGTATCTGTTCGTCCTCTACAACACACTCAATACGAACGTTTCATACCAAGTGCATATCCTTACTATGTAAGCGCCTTTTCGATGATGGGCGGCGTATTTTTATTCTCCCTTTTGTTCCTGCATTATAAAGAGGATACGAAACCGAAGTCTGAATGATTTCTATGCAGCTGTAAACGTTTACAGATACTTTACGATTGACTAAACGTGTACACAATGTCATTTTTCTGGCGTACACATTCCGAAGATGAAGAAGGTGCTTAATCAGGTCATAGTAATAACATGTTCACAATGCATAAGTATTGTACAACATTTATATTTATTTAATTCTTGAACGGGTTAATTAACCTGCACCGACGGTGCAAAAGAACAATACCATACTAAATGTGTACTTTAGAAGTAGTTCTTGTACCAAAATTGTATTTTATTACACCATTAGAAAATTTTTTAAATATTGTTAAAACAGAATACAGGAGGGGAGAAAAAATTCAGTTTACAAAAAGTAAATGATTTTTGCTTATTCATTGTCCACACTATTTACATGTAGAATATATTTTGTTATCATAAGAATCTTACAAATATGTGTTATGTATTATTAGATTTCAGATGTTTACGCAGAAATATAAAAGTCAGGTCTTAGCTTAATCGAGTAACTAAATATTCGATAAAATCAGATAACAAATGGGTTTAAGTTATTTATAATCCATGATAAAATTTATTATTCATGCATTGGAAGTCAGCTATATCGTCATCTTACGTTTCGTCGATTATTTTTTTAAATTGATATTAAGTAATAAATGATGGCCTTGCAAATGATTAATGATCCCGTCAAATTACATAATTTTAATTAAACATTTTCATTATGCTTTCGGAAATACAAATATTGTGAAACAATAAATTCAATATATAGTGATACAACGTTTTTCAAAAAAGAGCTTTCTCATTGGCCAATAAAAATGCATCGCGGTTGTACTTTGTACGAACCCAACGAAACGTAAGAAGTAATAACGAATTAATTAATTTGTGTTAATGATCAAATACGAATCAAGTTTTCAAGTTTCAACCGCATAATAGTGAATTTTTTCTTCCCCGGCGTCCTGAAAGACATAAAATTCTCAACGGTCGGTCGTCAACGTGGGATTATTACTGAATGTCTAATAATAATACTCGTGTATCTACATAGTATGCAGTTAAATTAAAATTAAACGAGAAATAACATTTAACGGTGACACGAAATACATATTTTCGGTTTCAACGGTTTCATCGGCGATGTGTAAATCCTTCGAAACTGTCGGTACACGATCGATGCAACATTGTTTAACATGACTTCCAGTGGTACACGAGAAGTTTGAAAGTTTTCGCAGTAAACGGAACACCGACTGAACATGAAAGATGTTGCCTTTCCTCGAAAACAATCGTATTTCGCAGTCGGTACAATGTTCAAGTGCTGTTATTCCGTGAATTTCGAAACTTCGAATGAAATTCAAAGTGGTTAACCTATACAGATTATTTATGCCTACCACTGTGTACACGTTCATTTTCGTACCTGTTAAGGAACTCCTGAAACTTTCAAAATGTTGGAGGGACTCGTTGCTTGGGTGTTAAATAATTATCTCGGGAAATATGTTGAAAATTTAAATACAGATCAATTGAGTATAGCTTTATTATCGGGTAAGGTTATGATCTTTTTTTTCTGAGTCATTCTTTTATGGTGTTTAAAATGAATATATAACAGAACTCTTTGTTGACAACGTCTGTTTGTTTATGATATTGTTATAATAATGGTGAAGTTTGTCGATATATTTAGGTGCAAAAAAAATTACAGTTGTAAATGGTTTTACATGAATATAATGGAGAGCGCAGTAATGTTCTACGTGTCAGTTTTATTTACATATCAGTCAGCATGAGTTTTATCTTAACTTGGAACTTCAATTTGCATTTCTTTCTGTTTGTAAAATTCAAATTTAAAACCATCTATAATGTATCATAACTTCTAAAAAAACATTTGAAGATATTGGGTACACTTCTATAGTTTTTTGAACTTTTGAACCAGAGTGAAAATATATTTTAAAACTCACTTCTATTTCACACAAACTACATGAATCGTTAAGTTTATAAGTATTTAAATGCTAATATTTAAATTATCAATTAACAAGTGTATACTTTTATAGGGGAAGTGGAGTTAGAAAATCTACCCTTAAAGAAAGAAGTATTAAGGCATATCGGATTGCCGATCGAAATAAAAGCCGGTTTTATTGGCAAAGTCAGGTTGCAAGTTCCTGTTCGTCAGATAAGGACAGCATCATGGGTTATAGTCATAGAACAACTGTATGTAGTGGCTGGACCAATAAATTTGAACGAGGTGAGTGTATCAAAATTTCTTTAATTATTTGCTGTTTTCTATATTAATTATAAATCCTTATATTTATAGTTTGATAATGAGGCAGAAGAACAAGCAGTTTTAGAATATAAACTGAGTCGACTGGACTCATTAGAAGCTAGATGGAGAACAGATACAGATCGTGATCCCGGTTATTATGCTACAAGTTATAGTTCATGGGTAAATTATGGTACATCCTTAGTAACAAGTATTATTGAAAACTTACAACTTCACATTAAGGATGTCCACATAAGATATGAGGATGGGCTGATGTTGTCAGATGGTAAAACAATAAATTGTTTTTAGTTTATAACAAGATGTTCAATTATTAAAATGAAAATTATATTGATTAATAGGCAGCGGTATTGCGCTGGGTATAACAATAGGATCTTTAACTGCACAAAGCTGTGATGCTAGTTGGATACCTGGGTCTACTTCATGGAATCTTGCGGATGCTTCCTTGAAACTCATGGAACTTGATAGGTTGTCTGTTTACTGGAATCCCCTTAAACCAAACGAGTTTTTTGGGTCTTTCAATCTCGGTGATTTAGCTGTATATATTTATTTTTATATAAACCATCTGACCATTGCAGTACAGAAAATCAATCGATTTTGAACAATGTCTGTTCTTAATTATTAGATTGCTATGAGCGAACCAAAGAACATCATCAAAAAGTACATTTTATCTCCAGTAAATGCAAAAGCATATATTAAAAGGGACAGATCAGAACGACCATTAAGATCCACAAATAAGCCAAGAATTGTGGTAGACCTTCTGCTGGATGATGTCCCTCTGTGTCTCACAGACGTAAGTGACCTAAATTGTTTCTGTATCATTATAAAATACAAGTAATTTTGTTCTAGGCACAATACAATCAAATAGTCAAGTGTATAAAAGGTTTGAAAGACATAGAACGTCATAAACAACAAAGACGCTGTCGTCCATCAGTCAGCGTATCTAACGCACCAAAAGAATGGTGGAAATATGCAGCAAGATGTCACATTGGTAAAGAAACTCTAAAACCTAAACCGACTTGGAATGACATGCTTCAAAGAGGCAAAGAAAATATTTTATATGTCGAGAGTTATACCAAGTTGTTAGGTATTCAAATGAAAATCATATAATCCTTTACTTTCGTAATTTTTTTCTATATTAACTGTTATTATTCTATAGGAACACCGACAAGTATTTTACCACTGGACATGAAACAAATAAAAGAGAAGGTAGAACAGGAGCGAAGTTTCGACGAACTTCGAGTGTTGAGGGAAATAGCAATGCACAGAGTTAGGCCATCTAAGCCCATTCAAATGACAAACGTGAACATGCCACAGGGTCGTGGAATGCTTGAACAGTGGTTCCCACAATGGTGGGGATGGTATTCGAAGGCCCCGAACACAAATACTCAGAGCACATCCTCTACATTCGATGGAGAACTTCTGGATGTTTTAGCTGACACCATAGATGATGACACCCTTCTGCGTCGTGACACAGTATTTGGACAGTTCAATTTTACGTTATCCAAGGGTGCTGTATCTCTCTGCACGGCGAAGACAGAAAACGAACAGGAGAAAACTGTAATAGAATTGCAATTCGAACGAGTGACTCTGAATTACGAGTCAAGGCCTAGGTCTGGGTCTCACAAGTTTACCGTCAGCTTAGGAACTTTGAATTTGCACGACTATCTCACCGAAAACTCGACTTTTCCAATTTTGGTGCAGCCCCAAGTAGTGCCTACTATAATTTCCCGTGCACGTAGTTCCTCAGAGAAGTTAACGAGCCAATTGCCGCAGCATCTGTTCGAGATGACTTACGAGAAGCGACCGTTACACGTGACCGCTGATCATTCGTTGTACGTGAACTCGAGATCATTGGATGTAGTGTATAATCCTACTGTGATACAGTGGCTCATAGATTTCATATGTGAACCGTACAGGTCGTTGTCCAATCAGAGAATACAAGCAATGAAGCGTAGAACGCGTAGACAGTTAATTAAGAATTGGGAGCAAATTTTGGATGGAGACTTTGTTTATCGATCCTCGTGGGACCTCCAGTTCAATATATCTGCACCGCAGATCTTGTTGGTGGAAAATTTTACGGATTCTAATGCTGCGGTTGTAGTCGTGGATTTTGGGAAACTGCACTTGACGAATGGTATACAAAATGATGAAGTAATCATAAAGCCGGGTTCTGGTACGAACAGTGATGACGAAGAAGAGAGATTCGAGACACCTTGCTCAACACCACCTGGTAGTCAAGAGAATGGTTCTGTGCAGGACTTCCAGACTATATCTGAGACAGCGTTACACCAGAAACTTTATGATCATTACTCTATCAACTTGGTAGATTTGCAGATTTTAGTGGGGAAAGTGAAAGATAATTGGAAGCATGGGAGGACTAGAGGCATGTCAAGTCTGCATGTTTTAGAACGCTTCAACATATCATTACAAATTGAAAGACGTGTGTTCAACACATCAGACCCAAACTTTCCATCTGTAACAGTATCTGGGAATCTTCCAAGATTGGTGGTACACGTTAACGAACAAAAAGTGGAATCGATTAGGTTGATGTATAATTTACTGTCGAATTTCTCCAAATCCACAGTAGTTTCTCAGAGTGATGTAATCAATGTAGAACCTGAAAGTCCAAAGAAAGAAGAAATCATGGATAAATCTTTGAGTCATGCAGTGATGGTTCAATTTATCATTGATCAAATGACTTTCGAACTCCAATCACGTGGACGAAGTGTGGCAGAGTTGCAAGTTTCTGGGGTCAGAGCTGCTTTCAGTAAAAGGACAGTTGATGTCAGCGTCTCCTTATCTGTGCATGGTTTGCTCCTCGTCGATGCTCTCCAGGAATTTGGTCCTGATTTTGAGTTGTTAGTAGCCAGCCACAAACATGTTGGAATGGACAGTGTTTCTGGGAGTTTAAGAGATTCCGAACCAACGTCGCCAGTTTCGCCGGTGTCTCCTGGATCTCCCGAGCCGACAGTGTCGAAACGATTAACTTCTCCAATTGCTCTAACCAATGCTTTGTCGAATTTAGCAAACAGATCGAAAAATCTACAATCTCCCAGGAATAATTCATTCATTGAATTAGATAAGATGGACTCAGAGGCCTTAATTGTTGTCGAATTAACGTTAGTACAGGACACTTCAGAAAATCTAAGAGTTGCCAATATCCAGTTCAACAATTTGGATATTATTGCCAATCAAGAAACGATAGTAGAACTAATGGGTTTTTTCAGAAGGATATTTCCGTCTCAGAAAATGAGGCCAGGAAGCATAGAAAGACAAGAGTCGCTGTCGAATCAAACTATAGAATCGAAGGTCTCGACCAGGACAGAAATTAGTTTTGATTTTCATAGATTAAACGTTTTACTTCTAAGGGCAGTGATGCATGATAATCATCTGGTGGGTCAAAAAATTGCTACAGCAACAATGTGTGATGCACGTATACAAGCAACCCTGGCAGTCAACACTTCCATCTCTGGATCGCTTGGAGGCTTACAAGTTTTAGATCAAACTTTAACTGGTAAAATGCATCAACGGATTGTTAGTGTTGGAAGGGATCCAATTACAGATCCGCATCAACAACATCTTGAACACTTCACTAACTTACCCAATCAACCTGAAGCATTGAGATTCTCAGCGAATCGGTGTACTAAACAAAATGCACAGCACCAGGATGGAATGGAAACCTTGATAGATTTAACAATACGCATAGGTAGTGTGTGGTACACGCACGCTCCTCATTTACTTTCTGAACTGCGTTCATGCGCTGATGAATTTAAACAGTATTTGAAAAATCTTGCTCGCCAGATCAGTGCCGCAGCTACAGATATGGCCATTGGTTTGGTTAACGCTGAAGACTGGACGATACCACCACGTAGACGCTTGCCAAGTCTCTCCGTAGACACGGAAAGCTCAGGAAGCTTGTCTTTAAGCCTGGATATTCTTCTAGACAGTCCTGTACTCGTGATACCTCGGTCGTCCCATAGTTGTCAAGTGTTCGTTGCTCATCTTGGTACAATGTCTTTGCAGCACGAACCTCATCATGGTTCTATGGCGAAACACAAATTAACTTTAGAAGTTCGAGACATGAATTTATATTCCCTTGAAATATCTTCTAACGTTAGTCAAACTCATAATAATCTACCTTTGAGGGCAGAAGAGATATATTCTTGTAAAGAGTCTGGAAAGCCAATCTTGCATGACACAGTATTAAAAATTGTGGTCGAAATAGAGAACACATTAGTGCAAACTCCCAGTTTCTTCCTGGACAATGAGTTCTCGAACAACCCAATTGTTCAGGTTCACGGAGTGGTAACAAAGCCATTGAAAGTGTCTTTGTCTCGAGGTCAGTATGAACAATTGTTGGACACGATAAACAGAATGTTCTCGATGCCAATATCAGTGCCAGTTGTTCAGAAATCGCAAGTAATAAACAAGATACCTCATCATTCTGATAAATTGGATGTTTCCATGAAAGTATTATTTGAACTACCTACACTAAGCGTGGAACTAAAACAAGGTCTGTCAGAGCAGCCACTAGTTGAATTGTCTATGAGGGATTTTGTTGCAAAATATGAGAAACTGCAGAAAAATGAATCCACTATTCAAGTTGCCTTACGTTCACTACTTATGGAGGATTTGCTGTGCCCTGTTGGCTCAAGACACCGGTGTATGATGCAGTCTTCAGCACCTACTCGAGCTAAGCTACCTGCTGGTGTTTCTAAGTCATGTCCAGACTTTGCATTTATTCAACAATTCAGAAGTGAATTCGGACGAGGAAGTTTGCCCGACAGATTGGAAACTGATACTTTGTACGGTACAATTCCTGCCCATTGGCGTAGAAAACCGGTCTCACTAGCAGATACTCCAAATACTCCACCTCCATCGCCTGGTGCATCTACAAGCGAAGAAAATTTAGTACTGATGAGCATCACGATAACTGAGCCAGATCCTGATCAGTTAAGGAAGGACCAATTTCAACAGAAAACTGTGACTGTGGACTTCAATTGTTTGGATCTTGTGATAAGCGTGGAGTCTTGGATGGTAGTCTTTGACTTCTTTGGATTTGCCGGACCATCTGGAACTAATCCTAAAGTTACCATGCATCAAACTTCTATTGATGTAGATCAGCTGGACAAACCAGACAGTTTTCCTATACGATCAGAAACTGAAATAGAAGTTAGATCTTTGACATTAGTACTAATACAGGCTGAAAGAGAAATTGCAAAAGCTAATGTATCCAATGCAAATATGCATATTTTGAAGGTGAATGGGAAGACAATGATATCTGGGTCTTTGGGATCTATGTCGTTGTTGGATCTCACGCCGCATGGTAGATTTTACAGAGAGAGATTCTTGTCTTCTGGAAGGAAAGCTTTGAACTTTCAGTATTCCAGTTATGTGGACTCTGAAAAACGACCTTATGATGCTCAATTAAAACTTGAAATGTCTGCTGTTCATTATGTGCACACTCAAAGATTTGTAGCAGAACTTCAGGCATTTTTCGTACACTTTTCTCAACTCTGGACTATTATGGCGAATTTAAGAGCTGGGATTGGAGCTGTTATAGACTCTAACAAACGAAGTATGAGACTATCATTAGAACTTCACGCAGGTGCTCCTGTAATATTATTACCAGTCAGTTCTAGATCTGATGAACTGATACTGTTGGACTTGGGAGAACTCACGGCTCATAATAAGTTTGCAATGTCTGAACTGATAGACAACTGCATGTTAGATATAACATTTCTTGAATTAGTTAATATGGATGTTTACGCTGCCAAAAGAATTCCATGCGATGATCACGATGAAAACAATGATATGTTAGTTGTCGGTGGCTTTCTCATTAAGAAACTTGGATCGTCATTGCTTACAGAGATGTGCCATTTAAAGCTACGCATAGAACGAAACTTGGACACTTACATTAGCAGAGATATACCCGACTTGAGTATACATGGAACTTTATCAACAATGGACTGCGCTTTAGACCCTGCTCAATATATGTTAATTCGAGGTCTTTTATCTTACAACATTGGAGAAACTCTGGACGACCTGCGACAATTCATGCAAGATCTGGATCAAACAGTTAAATATTCTATGGTTAGTGTAGATAACCGGGAGAAGATCTGGAAGAGGTCGTGCATAACACTTGAATTAGTAAATGTAACTGTGAAATTACATCCAAATCATAATATTGCAGCTTTAGCATGTGTTAATTTTATAAAATCTAGGCTCACATTGGATTCATTAAGTGATGGGTCACAGGATATAGACCTGGTATCTCAGGAGATATTAATTACAGATACACGTTTCCAGAATGAACCTTTCAGTATGCAATCTAATGTGTTTACAAGCATCTTACAGCCTCTAAGAAATTCCAACAACGAGAATCACGTACAGGCTGAAGTACATCACAGGAGACGCAAAACAAATGCAGCAACAACCATTCTTGTACACAGTATGCGATTGACTGCTATATTGGATTGGTGGGAAGCTGTAAGGGATTTCTTGATGTTAAATTCTTCAGAACCCGAACCCATTCTCAGTATATCACAAATAACTGCAGAAAATAATCAAGAAAATGAAAGTAACACTGCTACTATGATACCACTGGAATTGAAGATTAATATTATTGATTCTGAGTTGGTCATTGTAGAAGACACTTCGGTGAGCGATACTAATGCCGTTATCTTGAAGAGTACAGCAGTTTTGTCGTATAGGTCTGTCCCTCAAGAAGGAGAAAAGCCTCTTTCCTGTAACTTATCCCATTGCGAACTGTTCTCTTGTATTCCTGGATTCGAAGAAGAAACTGCTTTGTCCATAATTGATCCCGTAGGAGCTAGTTTAGATTTAACGCAGGATAAGTGTCTTGAGATACAGCTTCAACCGTTGTGTGTGAGACTGAGCTATCACGACGTTACAATGTTCTCCAGAATGCTCAGTTCTCTACCAAAACAAACTTTGGTAGCTAAACAACGCTCAAACGAAGTACTGACTCCTACAGAAAAACAAGTACAGAAGTTGACTGCTCTAGGATTCGCAGACTCGGATTGCAGGGCAGCATTAGATCTTTGTAATGGTCAATTAGATGAAGCAGCTTTATGGTTAACGCAAAACGCAGTACCTAATTCTGATGTGAACACAAAGAATGAGTTAATTTTCCATAGTATCGAATTGCAAACATCTTGTGGGAGAATATGTATCATAGATGACTGTAGGGATGCTGATGTGCCACTGTTAGAAATTACATTGTCGGATTTCAGTTTGAGACAAGACTGCATGGGGCCTGGCCTAGTGTCATGTATTTTCAGTATTGATTATTATAATAGAGTTCTCAGTGGTTGGGAACCTTTCGTTGAACCATGGCGTACTACTGTTCAATGGGAACAAACGTTAACTAACTCTCTCAATTCTAAGAGATTACAAATGTCTGTGGACTCACAGGATTCTGTTGATGTTAATGTAACTTCAACATTAATAGAACTATTCGAGTTAGTGAAGAATAACTGGATGCAGGATTTCTATTTAACTTCGCTCAAAGATATCAATGTGAATAAACCAACAAATGGACAAGCGTACAGACGCAGATTACCGTTCATCCCATTTGCGTTAAAGAATGAAACAGGCTGTAATTTGTGGTTCAAAACAATCATTGCCACTGCAAATGACACGAAGGATGTGGAATTCAATTTCAAGCAAAAAGATGTTTTTGAGAAAGATGACACGTGGATTGAAGTAGTTCCAGGAGGCACTGTTCCATTCACGTTTGAAGGAAGAGGAAAATTGCGACATCATGCTACGCATACTGTTCGAAGACATCAGATCACAGTGCTTGTGGATGGATGGAAACCTGTAGAACCTGTCACAGTTGATCGCGTTGGAATATACTTCAGGCATGCCTACGAGAATAGTCATAAATTACAGGTGATTGATTCTTTGTTGAAGAATTTCTCTTCTTATTGTATTTGTCTTCTTAAATTATTGATTTTATTCTCAGATGTTGACACCCAAGGCTAGGATAGTATTCGCAGTTGAATTAGAAGGATCAGCTAGAAAATTAGTAACTGTCAGATCAGCTTTACAAATATCTAATAAGTTGACACACACGGTAGAACTAAAAATGGAGAAATTCTTGAATCAGTTTGAATGTAGGTCTGCTTGTACATAAAATTCAACGAAATTGCTTTCTAAATGTTTACCATTTTTTCAGATCTGTCTCTCATTTCACCAGTGAATGATAGAATTCTACAAGTACCTCCACAATCCGTCATATCGGTACCGTTAACGCACACAGGTGTGCAGATGTGTCTGAAGCCCATAAATATGAATAATTTATTTCAATATTGTATGGAAACAATAGACTGGACAATAGTAAGGAAACCACTAGAAGTTATAGAGAACCGTATTACGTGTAGGGCTAATCACAATAATATATTTAGGTAAGTGTCTATAATATTAGAATAAAATGATTCAGTGCATTTTATAAATTTGTTTCTTTTAATAGAATGAGTGTAGCGGTTATGCGTGATAATTATCCGCCAGATGTGGGTCATATGCTGCCAGCACACACGATAACTATAATGGCTCCAATTACTTTGATTAACTTATTACCACACGAATTGTTATTTAAAGTTGGTATGGAAAGCGATAGAATTTCAGCTGGCGGTAGTGCAGATCTGCACACAGTAAATATTGAAGAGCAATTAGAAATTACAATACAAATAGATGGTTACCCTGGTTCTGGAACGGTAAGAAACTTTACCCTTTACTGTTTTAATATCATTAAGGTATTTAATAGATAAAGGAAAATATTTATTGTAGATGTTACTACCGCCAAATGCTAATTCCTTCACTGCTCGGCTCAGGCTAACTGACTTCACTGGAAGAATATTGTTTCTATATGCAGCTGTCAATATAGAAAAAGGTTCTGCGATACAAATTAGTATTACTTCGCCATATTGGATTCTTAACAAAACAGGGTTACCGCTGGTGTTCCGACAAGAGGGAGTTGGCGTTGAAGCAGCTGGACAATTTGAGGAACATGAAAAGGCTAGAATGGTAGCTCCACTGTTATTCTCTTTCAGCGATGAAGAAGCTAGTAGAACTTTGTCAGTCAGAGTTGGTACCTCGGTACATCCTCAAGGAATACCACAGTGGTCGCAACATTTCCATTTGCAACCTGGAATACAGGTTTATATATTATGTTAATGTACATTGCTATGTACACAAGAAACAATGTATTAACTTGAAGTGCATTTTAGGTACACAGACTTAGAGTATCCTTGCGTGATGGCAGACCGGATATAGTATACTTGATCAGTGTGGCTACACGTACTGCAAGAGGAAAATACAGAGCAACAACAGTGGTTACACTGTCTCCTAGATATCAGTTGCATAATAAATCTAGTTTTACGCTAGAGTTGGCACAAAAATGTTTCACAACAACAATTGTGAGAACATGTTTTAGCTTTTGGTTATTCCTCGTTGTGCTTGAAATGATGTATTTTCTTTTTTTAGAGCCATCCAGATGCTCAAGCAACGTACATTCGAACAATGCCTGACTGTCACATGCCCTTTCATTGGCCACGTCTCGACAAAGATTTATTGTTATGTGTTCGCATCATAAACGTTAAGGATTGTATGTGGTCTGGTGGTATCAGACTAGACGACAACTATTCCTTAACAATTAATATCAGGGACGCAACTGGAAGGATGCATTTCCTTCGCGTAGACGTGGTTCTACAAGAAAGCACATATTTCATAGTGTTCACTGATGCAGACACTATGCCTCCACCTATAAGGGTGGACAACTTCTCGGAAGTTCCTCTAGTAGTTAATCAGGTGATTACTGACTCAACTTTCATAATAAATACGCTTGTCAATTCCTAAGAAATAACTTCTCAACGATTTGAGTATATTCGAACATTCCTCAGGTCTCATTTGCTAAGCCACTTGACTGAATTAATTAGAAATTATTTTCAAGAGTATTTTTATAGGTTACCGTGCACGACAACTTGCAATGGACCGTGCGACCACATTCATCAGTACCGTATGCTCTGGATGAACCAATACAAGCTGCAGGTTTGGTTTTAACTGCACCTGGCGGTGTAACAGCTACCTACGACTTGAATATACTTGGAGAAGGCAGAGGATTAACATATGAAAACTTCATTTACATTGCATTTACCGGTAAGTTTCACTGTCACTGTTAAGTACTACATTCTTTAACACATTAGTAACTTATAATAAATATTACTACTATTCAAACCAGGAACCTTCAAACCCGATGGCGATTTGGGATCAGGAGAATGTGGTCTTGATCCATTAGATGTCGAAACCCAAAGATTGGTGTTAGAAGCTGGCCCTGGTGGTTGGGTAGCTTTACGAAGGAAACAATATGGAGCTAGATCGCAGCTGTGGAGGATGACTGGTGATGGACAGTTGCAACACGAAGGTAAGTACTGATTGATTATTCAACTTGTTCCATATTTGTACATTATTTAAGTGTAATATGTAACGTAGGTTCTAGTCCACCCAGGGACAAGCATTCGAAAACCCCAGAGACAGTGCTGGTTCTAGACATAGCAGGTACAGCACCCCAGCCGTTTACGTATTGCGCACTTGCATTGAGGAAACCTGATCCCAGAAGAAGATCAACTCAAACGTGGCGGTTCACCGATGATGGGAGACTGTGTTGCGCGCACAAAAATATGTGTGTTCAGTCAAAAGACGGATTTATGGGATTGCACGAAGGTTTGACACATGGAAACTATTGTATTCTGTACGGTTTTATAGCGAAGCTATCTTCACCCCTGACATCACCTCATATAAAGATTTGTTTTCCGTTTATTTATACTCATTGCCATTTAATTTCACACAACTGACGAAGCTTTCTGTGTCTAATTTGCTCTCTAAACGTTATCGCCATATAGA